CGATAGGCTATCCCGTTTACAAGACAAATGGCACGTCAATCCCCGCGAGGGACTAGAAAAGGGTGCGATAGCTATTGGCGCTAGCTCTGTAATAAGATAGGCTCTTATTTTAGCTTCGTAGTGTCCAGTTTGGGACATAATTATGAGTACACTGATATTATGTTCGAAGATTGCCGTATTTAGGCTCGATTAACACTGATAAGCTCGTGTGACATCCCTGTAATTATAAAGTAAATAAAGAAGCACATTCTTAGATACTTAAAAGAAGAAGTATCGTATTGTCCAAAAAAATCTGCTTTGTGCTACATTGACGATATTCTGCTTTTATTAGAAATGTGGCAGAGACACAAGAAGCTTATTAGCGCTCTATCAGGTCGCTAAGTGACTCTGAGATTTGTTTATTTTTACCCGACTGCGCGACGCAGAAGTGGTAATGTGTTTTTAATTGACTTTACTACCATTATGCTCAAGCTAAACTGATCAAGGTTCCTCAAGGAACTGTGGTACCGTTATGTGTGCAGTTTGTTAAAGAGCAAGCAAGTAGTTAAACTTCTTTGTGTGGCTCTTTCCCATTTTATTTGGTCGGCCCTCCGTATCACGCGTCTCCAGGCAGCTCGGTCCTGGGTCTTCTCTTTTCGGTCCTGGGACTTGGGTATCTTTGAGGTTCTTATACAGGATGTCCCAAAAAGTAGTGTCAAGCCGAAGCCCAGAGGTAGAGCATCACTTTGGGCACACCCAAATCACCGTGACTTTTGATAGTTTTTGAGTTATGTTTTTTTACAACATTGGGGTGCTTTGGATAGCCCTAATGACGCTCTATCTCTGGGCTTCGACTTGACACTACTTTTTGGGACACCCTGTATAAGCGAGTAGGTATACTTTAAGTTTTATGTTTCACTATTTTTTGTAATGCTATGCGTTTGTCGGCAGCAAGTGTTCGGCGAATGGGCGCAGGTGGAGGTGGTGGAGCTGGTGAACGACGGCTCGGGGCTGGCGTTCGGCATCGTCGGCGGCCGCTCCTCCGGCGTGCTCGTCAAGAGCGTCCTCCCCGGCGGCGTCGCCGACAGGGTCAGTATTATATCCATCACCATCGGCATTATCATCATCATCATCATCAACGTCATCATCCTCATCATCGCCATCATCGTCATTATCTTTATCATTGACATCATCGTCATCATCGTCACTTTTATCATCATCATGATTTCAGCTACAGGACGTCCACTGTCAAACATAAGCCTCCCCCAATGACTTCCATACTGACCGGTTGGTAGTAGTCTGAATTCAGAGTCTTCCTGCTGCCTTTCACCAGAAGTCATTATCATTTAGCGGTCATCTGTCCACTTTGTGGATAGACGTCNCTATTAAATCTGATTTTTATGTATAATATTTGGACAATAATTAGAAGTATTATCCCCAACAGCCAGACAGTTTTGACAGTTCCAACTCCTTGAAATACAGTTTTTTTAGGGTAGCTCCCAAAGCCACCACGACCCAAACTTCATAATTCACCAACATTATATCCTACATTGGGAGCATACGCTGACAAACTTTCAGCTTTTATAAAATGACGTAGGTCTGGCGTTCACTAGCTCTTAGTCTAAAAGGTTTCTCAAAGAACTGCAGTACTTCGAGGTGAGCAGTTTGCTTAAGACAAAGCAAGGAGGTATTCTTCTTAGCATTTTATTTGATCAGCCCTCCGTATCATGCGTCTCCAAGCGGTTCACTCCTAGGTCATCTCTTTCTTGACTTGGGCGTCATTGACGCCCGTATTCACAAACATTACTATGAGGTTTCACAGTGCGCGTGGACGTACAGGGTGACACACACACACACGAACAAATCACAGAGCTCTATTCAATGCTGTGCGTTTAATTTGCTGCTTCACTTATGCAAGCATCATTGAAAACGGGCGTGAGGTTCTTATTTATGCAAGTAGGTATGGTAAAACTTGTTTCATTCTATTTTGTAATGCTATGCGTTTGTTGACAGCAAGTGTTCGGCGAATGGGCGCAGGTGGAGGTGGTGGAGCTGGTGAACGACGGCTCCGGGCTGGCGTTCGGCATCGTCGGCGGCCGCTCCTCCGGCGTGCTCGTCAAGAGCGTCCTCCCCGGCGGCGTCGCCGACAGGGTCAGTATTATATCCATCACCATCGGCATTATCATCATCATCATCATCAACGTCATCATCCCCATCATCGTCATTATCTTTATCATTGACATCATCGTCACTTTTATCATCATCATGATTTCAGCTACAGGACGTCCACTGTCAAACATAAGCCTCCCCCAATGACTTCCAAATCGACCGGTTGGTAGTAGTCTGAATTCAGAGCATTCCTGCTACCTTTCACCAGAAGTCATTATCATTCAGAGGTCATCTATCCACCTTGTGGGTAGACGTCCTATTACATTAATAATCGGGGGGCACGGCAGTGCCCCCACCAAGTCGAGCAAAAAAGCGGCACGGCCGTACCATCCTTTTCTCGAAGCAATTCAGGCCATTTTCGACCGCCTGTAACTTCGTTGTGGATAAAACTAGAAGGCTGAATTTTCATTAGCTATGCAGGCATTGTAAAGACACGGTATATTTAAAATTTCATTCAATTTGAACCAGTAGTTTAAGAATTATAACGGGTCAAAGTTACTTAATTTTGTCACTCACTGACTCACTGACTCACTGACTGACTCACCGATCATCAAAATTCTAAGGCACTTCTAGCAGACCTAGAAGCTTCAAATTTGGAATATAAGTAGTGTTTGGTGTATGAATCAAGGAAAAACTAAAATATTTGGGGGCACGGTAGTGCAACCGCTAAGTCGAGTAAAATTTTTCAATTTCGGTCCAGTTTTCTAGATACATAACTGCTGTCTACAAAATACAAAAAGAAATGAGATCCCATCAAAAACAATACTTGTCAAAAAAACCAAGTCTCGCAACTCAGTTGTTCTACGGTAAAAAGTTGTGAGATCCATGTAATACCAAGTCCAGGCCAGGAAATCTTTAACGTTTTACATAAATATATTGACTTGGCCATCGCATGAAAACACGTGTAAATTAAATTATTTAGTGCGATGGCCAAGTCAATAATTTATGTAAAACGTTAAAGATTTCCTGGCCTGGACTTGGTATTACATGGATCTCACAACTTTTTACCGTAGAACAACTGAGTTGCGAGACTTGGTTTTTTTGACAAGTATTGTTTTTGATGGGATTTACTTTATCTCTCAACCGGAAGACATCCACTGCTTTAGATGCCTGTGAAGCGATTTTTTTCAGTTCAACGGCTTATTTTACACGCTGTATTGTTTTACTATAGTATCTCGTTTGTAAGCAGTGACTTACTAAACATTCCAAAGTACCACTAGTTGTCACCTCGAAATAATGCTAAGGTAGGCTGTATTTGGGAAAATCCCCGTATATTCTAGGTCTTGAGTTTGGCCAAAAATGTAGACTGCTTTACAAATTCCCAAATGTATAATTCAATTAAAATTTTCTTCTTTAACTTAAAGTAGACATGAGAGCAGCTCATTAACAATGCAAATCAGATATTAATTTTTCAATTCGAAAAGCAGATTCGAGGGATCGTTTCATGCAAATGGGTTCGGTGCCGATCACAGAATCGATGTTCCTGAGTCCTGTCGGGAAGTTTATCTTGCTGAAGCCACATAAATTGGAGGGAATTATCATACACATTTTTTATGTCAAGAAGAATATTCTTCGTGATTTAAGACAGACAAAATTATGGGTTTGAAATTGAATAGATAGATAGAATATACTTTATTGTAGGTACACCATACAAAACAGATGTAAAAGGAACTCCAAATTGAAACGGCGCAATTTAGGCAGTCTTATTGTTAGGAAGCCATCTCTTCCAGGTAAGCTCGAAAGAGTTTAGATGTTTAAAATAAAAGAGAAAGGCAGAAGAAAATTGTATTATTTATTGTTCATAAGCTTTTTTTCTTGGAATTGCAGTTTGACTTCGAATTTACCTTTTGGTAAAAAGCTAAAAGTTTAGATAGGGCATGCTTGTTCAGTAAATAATTATTTACTAGTGTCTAAAGACACCCAGGTCATAGATGTTTATTTACTAGTCTAAGTGTCTAAAGACATCCAGGTCATAGATAAATAAATAATAATAAATAAATCTTTGGACAATTTTACACAGCGCCAGCTAGCCCCAAAGTAAACAACTTAATGCTTGTGTTATGGGTGCTAGCTTAACGGATATTATTACTTATATACTTTTTTTTTTTAAATACATACATATTATACATAGTAACATCCGTCACAGAAATTAAAATTCATCACTTCAATTTCTGCCCGGCCGGGAATCGAACCCGGGACCTCTCGGCATAGTAGTCCGTTCTGAACCACTACGACTACACAATACAATCTATGACTGCTATTGAGTTCAGTTAAGAGCGTTGTTTTGTAATACATACCATGGTCTACAAGACATTGAAATGTGAACTTTCAAGAATCTCAATCATTGAATATCCGATAGAGTATAACTATCGTCTATAAAAATACGAAAACCAATAGTTAATTCCGGCGGAATAATTTCATCAAAGCTTATTATCGCCACGTGTAATTTAACGGTTGTTTCATAATTTGGGCTAATTCCGTCGCGTAAACAGCACGCTGTTGCCGCAGTACGTCGGGGCTTTGTTGTTGAACACGCCGCGGGGTAGTGCTGGGAGCTGTTTGTAAAGTTTCGATTTTGTCGATGAACGATCTTGTTATAGCCGAACGGCGAATGTGGGATTGGCCGACTTTTGATCCGAGTAAAAAAGTATAGCAGTCCTACATAATGTTAGGTCGTACAGTAACGCTTCTAAGGGCGGATTAGACCAAACAAGAGTAAATATTAATCTCAGAATAAATCGTCAGTTTTGACATATTTCCCATACCAAAATTGTCAATGTGCCAGTTATACCAGGAGTTATTCTCGGATAAAAGTTTGGTCGAATCGGGCCTAAGAAAAATAATACTGTAGGATTGTAATATCTATGGCGTAAATACTCCATTGTCTTAAACTCTTTGGATGTACGAACGAGTGTGAGCGAGACGAATGTACGGAGAGTGAGAAAGAAGGAAGGAAAGGGGATGGCGGCAAGACGGTTATGAGTAAGTGTGGCTCTGTATTTTATAAAAGAAGAATAAACATATTGTTGGAAGAAACTGATTTTCCTTGCGAAGCCCCGTCCCTACAAATTTTGGGGGCTCGTCCGGGATAATTATCTTCGCGGTGGACGGTGTACTTCGTGAGAAAATCTCAATAAGACGTACGGGCACACGCGTACGACGACGCCATTGTACCGGCCGGCGTGTTTCAAGATTCAGACGGGATCATACGACGGAAACATGCCGAACTACGGCAAAGAAAGACGTAAAAGCCGACAAGACGACTATGAAGATTGTGATGACGACAATATCACGCATAACCCGACGCACATGTTGCAAATGACGGCGGAGTTGGTGCCTAGATACAGCGGGAGAGATAATACCTATCCCGTGTCACGCTGGATTGAAGACGTCGAGAGCAACGCGGAAATATTCGGTTGGTCTCCGTTGCAGCAGCTGCTGGTGGCACGAAGGTCACTGACGGACACTGCGCAGCTGTGGCTCAGATCCGAACGTCCGTTTAAGAGCTGGGACGACTTGAAAGCAGCGATATCGAAAGAATTCCCAGACACCGTGGACATCAAAGCTATTCACGAACAAATGAGTGCTAGAAAGAAGCGGGTGGATGAAACATGCCTCGACTATATGCTGATCATGAAGGAGTTAGGCAAGCGTGGCAAGATGCCGGACTACGTTGCGATTAAATACATCGTTGACGGAATCGTGGACGTAGAAACAAACAAGATCATGCTTTACGGTGTTACAACCTATAACGACTTAAAAGAGAAGCTTAAAATCTATGAAACGATATCAAGAAAAATGCAGAGTGCTGTGCAGCAGAGGCGTGCAGTGAGTACAAGCAAGCAGCAGAGTGATCGACGAGGGTCGTGGAAGATTCGGTGCTATAGCTGTGGAGAGACTGGACATGCATCAACTGATTGCCCGCATAAAAGCAAAGGTATGAAGTGCTTTAAGTGCAACCAATTCGGCCATGTTGGATCGGCTTGCACTTCGACTGCGACGGCGAATCGGAAGACTTCGGAGGAGTTCGGTAAATCTCGGCAAGACGACCACAGACAAAAGAAGAGCGCTATGTTCGCGGCTGACATCACTCGAGACTGCGGCGCCTCCAGCGGTGAGCTATGGAACGAACTACAAGACTACCAACATCATGACAAGAAGCGGACGATGTTCACTACGTCAAACTCCATAGAAGGCAGCGCCCCTAGCGGCTCCAGTACGAACGACGACGAACCAAAGATGGCGACATTTGTTTACGACGAGATGTCAACATTGTCAACCTCTCAGATCAACAAAACGGAGGAGAAAAAGCCGGTTATTGTGTTGACAATGAATGAAATACAGCAAAAAGCGTTAGTTGACTCCGGCAGCGACGTGAATATCATATCGGAGGACGTTTACATCGAGTTGGGAAAGCCCAAATGTGAGAAAGATGATTTGGTGCTATCTGGAATTGGACAAGGAACAGTGCGTTCGTTGGGAAAGTGTCTCCTAAACCTGTGCGTAGACGAACAATATTATTTAGACGTAATATTTCATGTAATAAACAAAGAGTATGTACCTTACGACGTAATACTAGGACAAGAGTTTTTGAATGACGTAACAGTTGTGATTAAAAAGGGTTGTGTAAAGTTTTATACTAAAGAATGGGAACGACTGGGATGTTATGTGAGTGAGGTATGTTCATCTAATTCTGTTGTAGGTCCCATGAAAGATCCAGCTTTGAGAGAGGAAGTCATCGAGTGTATACAGAAGTACAAACCGGAACAGACGGAGGAAGCACCACTGCAGCTCAAGATTGTGCTTAAGGATGAGGTACCTGTAGCACTACGACCGCGACGACTGGCACTTAAGGAGCAGGAGATTGTGGAGNTTTGATGCCGAGTGTAGATATTAGGTACTTTGTTGTATACCACACAAAACAGATGTAAAAGGAACTCCAAATTGAAACGGCGCAATTTAGGCAGTCATATTGTTAGGAAGCGATCTTTTCCAGGTAAGCTCGAAAGAGTTTTGATGTTTAAAATAAAAGAGAAAAGCGGAAGAAAATGTTATTTATTGTTCATAAGTTTTTTTACTTGAAACTGCGTCTAGGTTTGACTTCGAATTTACCTTTTGGTAAAAAGCTAAAAGTTTAGATAGAGCATGCTTGTTCAGTAAATACTTATTTACTAGTGTCTAAAGACGTCCAGGTCATAGATGTTTATTTACTAGTGTCTAAAGACATCCAGGTTTCCAGGTCATAGATGTTTGAGAATTGTGTTACAGAACAAAACTAATTAAATTCCAAGCATACCTACTTGATTGAAGCTTTTGACTATACAATTTCAATGCTTAGACCGATACCTGGACGGAATCTATAACTGATATTGAGTTCAGTTAAGAGCGTTGTTTTGTAATACATACCATGGTCTACAAGACATTGAAATGTGAACTTTCAAGAATCTCAATCATTGAATATTCAATAGAGTTTATCCCAATCCCAACTAATATTATAAATGCGAAAGTAACTCTGTCTGTCTGTCTGTCTGTCTGTTACGCTTTCCCGCTTAAACCTCGCAACCGATTTTGATTAAATTTGGCATAGAGATAGTTTGAGTTCCGGGAAAGAACATAGGATAGTTTTTATCCCGGTTTTTGAAACAGGGACGCGCGCGATAAAGTTTTTCTGTGACAGACAAAATTCCACGCGGGCGAAGCCGCGGGCGGAAAGCTAGTCGTGTATAAAAAAAACAAAAACCAATTAATAGTTAATTTTTCCGGAATAATTTCATCAAAGCTTATTATCGCCACGTGTAATTTAACGGTTGTTTCATAATTTGGGCTAATTCCGTCGCGTAAACAGCACGCTGTTGCCGCAGTACGTCGGGGCTTTGTTGTTGAACACGCCGCGGGGTAGTGCTGGGAGCTGTTTGTAAAGTTTCGATTTTGTCGATGAACGAACTTGTTATAGCCGAACGGCGAATGTGGGACTGGCCGACTCTTGATCCGAGTGAAAAAGTATAGCAGTCCTACATAATGTTAGGTCGTACAGTAACGCTTCTAAGGGTGGATTAGACCAAACAAGAGAAAATATTAATCTCAGAATAAATCGTCAGTTTTTACATATTTCCCAAACTAAAACTGTCAATGTGCCAGTTATACCAGGAGTTATTCTCGGATAAAAGTTTGGTCGAATCGGGCCTAAGAAAAATAATACTTTAAAGTATTTACCTGATATGAACTACCAGACCACATTTGTTGATTAGCTTATCTTGGAAACCACAACATTATTACTCAAAATTAAATACTATTATGTTATGTTATTATCACGCAAAAATATAGTAGGTACCTACTCTTTAATACCATTATTTTTTACTTGTGAAATTGTTAAAATAAAGTGATGACATGACACCACATAAAACATGAACGAAAGCATCAGTAAAAAACCTATCTATAAGAGCCCAATCCCACTTTTTTTCCCACCAATGGAACTCCTGTACAAGTAACTACAGTAGTAATTTATCTATAGCAGGAAACTATCGACTATAGAACAGCACTAGTACAAGCGTAACAACACATCAATCAGCCCGGGAATGACCATACGCGCTCACTAGCGCGGCAAAAATAATCTCTGTTGTGAAAGTTCTCGCGCTTTGGAACTTGGAACGAGGTCGGAGCTGATGATAAGTAGGTAGGTACTTAGGTACAGATACAGGCTATGTTTGTGTTTAGAGAAAATATATTTTCTTTTTATTAAAGAAGAGAGCCACAAAAGTCACCATACCATAAAGCAACCATAGGCAAATACATATGTCGGTGTTAGACTGGCCGAATGGAGATTCGAGGGACGCGGGTTCGAACTCTGCCGCCACTGTTTATTGTGGTAATCACAAGCATATTAAACTTACAACGAGGGGTTGATGGGACTGAAACCTACCTAGGTAGGTACCTACCTAGTAGGTACCTACTTATTTATTATGCCGGAAAGTTTAGTGTAGTACCTACTTAACTTTTAGTAATACTCAATACTCAATATTTTATTGCATCCATTATGTACTTAAAATTAGTTCAGTAGTTTTGCGTCTCAAGGATTAACAAACGTCCTTCCATCCAACTGCACAAACTTTTGCGTACCTAAAGTTTCACCAATTTGCCAACATTTATACAAATTAATCAAGACGCGTTTCCCATTTGGTTAACTGACAGCAAGTTTATACTTCAGCTACGAATGATCATTCCGTAGCATAGTGCCATCATTCCGGGTTACTATCTCTGGCAGTATTCTGTTGATGAGCCATGTCAGCCTTTACAGTGGCTCATAAAGCCCGGCACTTGGGTTACACGATTACTTGTTGGGGATAGTTCCCACGGCATCCCAGTTTTGCGGGATTCAGGGTGGATTCGACCAAAAAAGAGTAAATATTAATCTCGGAATAAATCGTCAGTTTTGACATTATTTCCCATACTGAAACTGTCAATAAGTTGTACCAGGAGTTATTCTCGGATAAATGTTTGGTTGAATCGGGCCTCAGTAATGTAGGATCCCGCAAAACTGGACATTCGTGGGAACACACATGTATGTCTGAAATACGAATTACAAATTCAACCGGTCCGGTTTTTTGCGGGAAGTGGCAAACGGGATGTTCATGTGAACGTAAATATACTACTAAATATCAATCGGCAGACAGTGATGACTCAGTTTGTTGCGGCGCTTCTTCTCAGCACTAGCCAAATGTTGGTCTCGCTCGAAGCGCTGGTAGGGTCAAAAGATTATGAGACATGTAGAGGCTCCTTAAGAGCAAAATATTTGACGATTTGTAAGTATTTAATTAATATTTTTTGACTTTGACTTTGGGGTCCTGCAAAAAACGGGATGTCTCCGTGGGACAAGCTTCATTATCATCATCATCATCATCTCAGCCATAGGACGTCCACTGCTGAACATAGGCCTCCCCCAATGCTTTCCATGTTACCCGGTTACAACCTTAACTTCTTTCTTTCATCGTAATTATTAATACAGAAGATTGCAAAAGCTTTCTGTTTTACTAAGCAATTAAGTGTTTTACGATGTTGTATTGATTGCACATTAGTTATTATCGATATAGTACGTTATAGATAAACATCATGTGTTGGGAAATATCGTTACATAGTAGATAGATACGGTAGAATTATTAACACAAAAGCGTGATTAGTCATTTCAGAGCAAACAAAAGTAGTTGTTACTTCGACTGTGTGTAGTGGAAGTTTATAAATGAAAAGAGTGACTGTATGAAATTAATTATCTATTCGGTATCAATTTACAAGACTATCGAGACCGTTTAGTGCAAGGTCGTTGAAGAGAGTGCGTCAGGATCGTCTTCCTAGATGTTCGCTCGCGAACCGAACATTGCTCGTTCGTTCGCCGAACGCTCGCCGCTCCCTCCGGTCACGCCGCCCGCGGGCAATGTCCGTGAGTAGACAGTAGTTTCAGATTCAGATATGTATTTTCATCACCATAATGTTACATGAAGAAGAATGATTGATGGATAGTGAAACTTACTTTCAGTTTCTTTATAAGTTGAATGTTTTGTTTGGTCTTCAGGCATCTGTCAAAGTTTTCTGCAATCTAACTTAGGTCTGATTTTTCAATCGCCAGTGTGCTTACCATGAGTTTACGTTAGGTGTGCTCGCTAAAGAGTACGTCAAAAAAATCTATGGAGATTTTATTTCTTGAAAGTAGCCGCTAGGGGCGCTGCACAATATGTCATACATTTAATGGCATTTTTTTACGCAGTCGCTAACGAGCACACCTAACGTAAACTCATGGTAAGCACACAGATATGTTTTATCTGATGAACAAACTTGTCATTTTGACATATTTCCCATACTGAAACTGTCAACGTGCCAAACTTATTCTTTAATTAAAAGTTATCGGACGATTGAGAAATCGGCCCTTAACGGCATAACGTTTCCCATCAAGTAAAAAATTTCCTCACGTACCTTTACCAAACAATTATTTCGATGTACCTACATAGGTGTACCTGGTATAGATTGCGGGAAGAACCTGGATGCGGGCAGCACAGGACCGTTCATTGTGGAAAGCCTTGGGGGCTTGGGGGCATTTGTCCAACAGTGGACGTCATTTGGCTGAAACGACGACCTACATAGGTGTACGTACAAGGATCTTCGGTCGGTCTAACAGACCTTTTACTCCTTTTTCACCATGTTACATCTGAGTAATTTTTGAGCAGTTTGTTAAAAACAAACCTTTTGTTCAATTACTTGGAGATGGTTCTTGGCAAAGAAACATTGAGACAGTTACAAATAAATACTTTCTACCTATCTAATGAATGCTACTTTATGTAAAGTGTAAGGAAGCAACTGAATTTGACTTCTCTCAAACTGATACAGAAAACTTTTATCACATCTATTTAGGTATACAAAGAGGTAAAGTTTTTGAGTTTATGAGGTTGTGGGGGTAATCTCTGAATCTATTTAATCTATTTTGAAAAATATTTTACCAATACAAAGCCACATTATTTGTGAGTGCTATAGGCTATATTGATGGTACAAATTACTGGCACAGCTGGTATATTATAAATTAACATCTAACAAGCCCTCTCTACCATTACCCACTGTGACCACACAACCGCGTTACTCATCAATTTGCTTTACATTATGGGACATATACTTTTACAACGAGGCCAGTCGCTCATACATAGTCGACGGCGCATTATGATATCGTAAACTGAGAGATTAAAGTTATCGCTAGTGATGTCATTGTTACTGTTCTATCGATGGTTTATGGGTACTTCCCGTTAAGCTCGATTCACACATATCAGTGAAGCCACAGTTCCGTCACAGTGTCCGCTCAGTTCAGTATCAGTGCTACAGTGTTGCGTCAGTGAAATATTTTGAATATTTTAAAATGTCAGAGAGCTGTTTCAATATTCTTGTTCAGAAACTATGAAGTAAGTTATTTTGTTTTGATGCCGCGCGGCGGCGTCCGTGATCCGACAAAAATATCGTCGTTAACGAATACGTCCGTGATTGCCGGTGTCGGCACTGTCACTGAGAGCACAGTGTCGTCACTGACACTGACAAGTGGGGATGCGTTCATAGACACTGTATGAAAGAATATTTCGCACTGTGCCGGTACTGAGCCTGAACTGTGACTTCACTGATATGTGTGAATCGGCCTCAGACGACCTCTCTTACGTAAATCTCGTTAAATAAACTCTGAAACGTAGGTACATGTTATGTTACTCTAACTTTTTAAAGGTTACACATTTTGCGATGTTTGTTTGGGCTTCTTTTGAAAATAGCAAGGTTTTAAAATATTTCTGCTCAAGGGCTTATTCCTGGCCATGGAGACATTTAGTTTTTTTCAGGATTCCGTTTAGTAGTAGGTATACATAAATCTATGAACGTTTACACGAATTTCCCGTTTATAGTCTCCCGCAAAAACCGATTCGTTCGAATTTCAAGCACATATTATGAGTGTTCACAATGACAGTCCAGTTTTGCGGGATTAAAATTAAAATTACTGGATGCCGTTAAACTGGATTACCATGAGAACGAGCTCTAAGTTGTAAAGTTGAGTCTTTCTACCCCATCGATGACATCAACAATATGATATACTGCTGAAAAAGAAAGAGGTTGAGACTTACGAAAGTTATTTTCAGCAGAGAACTGCTAATGTCTGAAATGGTATTGAAGATAATTTTATGACATACTAGCTTTTGCCGGCGGCTTCATCCGCGTGAAATTTAGTTTGTCACAGATTGTCATAAAATTATAGCCTATATGTTTTTCTGGGTTATAAACAATAATAGGTACTGTAAAGTTTCATCAAAATCCGTTAAGTAGTTTTTGCGTGAAAGAGTAACAAATATCCAGACATCCAAACTTTCGCATTTATAATATTAGTAGGACTAGATTTCGTTGTCTTATAAGTTATTAATAAGTTTGCGACTGCCCAAAGTTAATCGGTTATTGATTTAGGCCCTAAACAAAGCTCTGAAGCAACCACACTGTCTGGGATCTTTTACGTAATTAATTAAAGAAAATAAGATAACTTTACTGAACTTTTCATTTATTCAGGAATGTCTATTCACTAAGCCAAGGTCTCTTCTATCAAAACTAACCTTTAACCACATAGATCTGTAAGTACTACTCAGGTATATTTACAGTTTGTATTCAAGGTTGAGATTTGAACGGCAGCCTAGAGTCTTGTACGACGGCACTTGCGGTAGTGTGTTCAAGTCCTATTAAGGACAAATGTTAGGACGAAGAAACACAAAACGTTTATGCTGAGGAGTCGTAGATTTTCTTGTATTCATGTACAAAAATGAATTAACAACTACCTTCTCCAGGGTCATATGAAATCATCATTATCATCATCATCTCAGCCATAGGACGTCCACTGTTGAACATAGGCCTCCCCCAATGCTTTCCATGTTGCCCGGTTGATAGCGACCTGCGTCCAGCGCCTTCCTGCTACCTTTATGATGTCGTCGGTCCACCTTGTGGGTGGACGTCATATGAAATACTTTCATGTAATAAGACCGCCTAAATTGAGCATTTCGTACTTGTATGTGTGTATGTATGTGTGTGTATTCATAAAATACTCAATTACTCGTATAAACATTTATTCACTCGTGTTCGTTGTCGATTGACAATTACATGATACTAAATTAATCGAAGAAAATTCTTTACATCAACGAATAAACAGGACCAAAAAACTCTTAACACATTTTCTTTTTTCCCGAGAAAAACCTTTAAATTACTTTTCGCCGATAACGTAACTCCCATAATTGATTTCCAATATGTCGATACCGGTTCATGTCGTTATTGTCCCATCACTCGGCTACAGGGATAAGCCATTAGGCGCGTCGCGGAGTTCGCGATGTTTGTCGCGATATTTGTTGCGAACTTTGTCGTGTCGGGGCTAAGCAGGATTAGTTAGTGATGTGTAATTGAATGGTTTTATAGTTTCGATGTTATAGCTTCTTTTTTTATTAAGCTTACTTTGATGTGGGGGTGTGGGGTGACTTGGTTATGCTTTGTATACCAATTTAGTGGGTAGGTAGTAATTATAATCATGAGTTAAACAGCTTGACTTACTTGACTTGACTTATGGTCCTATGTCCCCTAGATGGGGCAGAGGGCGTCCACAACAGTCCTCCATCTCGTTCGGTCTTGAGCTTCTCGCTTGATCTCGCTCCAGGTCTTGCCGATCTTCTTCGCCTCGTCCGCTACAGTGCGCCGCCAAGTTTGCCTGGGTCGACCACGTTTGCGTTTTCCTTGGGGATTCCAATCCAGAGCCTGCTTAGGGATGTGATCGGGGTCCCTTCGGAGAGTGTGGCCAATCCAGTTCCACTTGCGGCGCTTGATCTGCTGGTCGATCGGAATTTCGTGGCAGCGTTCCAATAGCTCGACGTTGGAGATTTTCTCGGGCCAGTATATGCCGAGAATTCGGCGAGTTAAACAGCGGATCCCATCATATCTTGTAGGAGTGTGATCTTTGGAAACATGAACGTGACATAATGCTTGATTTAATATAACATCTGTTTCTACTTTCTGCAATTTATCACAATGATTTTGTTGCGACAAGGAAAATGACCATGCTTTTAAGCGATTTTGTGAAAAATATAAAGAAAAATTATTGGCAGGTAGCTAATAGCTCATAAGATAGGCCCCCTTAATTGATGTTTATTGTCCGTGGTGCATGTCTTTTCTTAAAGGTTACTAAACCTTTGTCATCTGTCATTCGCTTTGCAATGGAGAGAAGTCGAACTTTAACTTCGAACTCCTATGTTCTTCTGATTAATTTCGAATTTAAATTTTTCAGTGACAGTTTAACTTTACCCCGGGACAAACTTGACCTTAACTAGTTTAGTTGGGCTTTTATCCTGGCTTCACAGGAGTTGCAGCGGTGGGAACGGGAGCCGGGATATATCAGAGTGGCGGCTTCTTCTTCTTCTTTTCGTGTCGACAACAAACCTATACAGTGTCAGCCCAAAACTCCGCCACAAGAGTGGCGTTGTCAGCAGCACTCATCAAATCCCCCTGAGTGCAGTTGATTGGGCACTCAGGGCACGACATCAGGTGCTTCATCGACTGGGGAACAAAACCGCACCTGCACTCCATGTTTAAGCCATCCAAGAATCCTCACCTGACCAGATTGTCCTTACTACGGCCAACCTGCGTCCGAAGTCTATTTAAAGACTTCCAGGTAAGCCAGGGGAGCTCATGTCCAGGTGGAGGACTTTCAGAGTGGTGGCTGTGATGTTGCCTATCCGATGATCCTAACTGAACTGTCGTTGTTCCAGGATGGGCGTCTTCGCAGCGGCGACATGCTCCTCCGCATCGGCGCCGTCTGCGTGGTGGGCATGTGCGCGCGGCAGGCGGCGGCGGTGCTTAGACAATGCGGAGCTTGCGTGCGGCTACTGGTCGCTCGACCGGCTCCCATGCCCAAGCAGGTGCGTACCATCCTTTGCTCAGCAGCGGCTCAGCCATATTGGCTCCGCATTGGCTCCGCATCAGCTCCTCAGCACCGCTCTAGGTGGCGGCGGTGCTGCGGCAGTGCGGCGCCTGCGTGCGACTACTGGTGGCTCGACCCGCTCCCATGCCCAAGCAGGTACGTACCATCCTTTATACAGGAGAGATCCGCAGTGGCTTCACATCGGCTATGCATCAGCTCCGCATCGGCTCCGCAGCGGCTCCGCATCGGCGCCGTCTGCGTGGTGGGCATGTGCGCGCGGCAGGCGGCGGCGGTGCTTAGACAATGCGGCGCCTGCGTGCGGCTACTGGTGGCCCGACCGGCTCCCATGCCCAAGCAGGTACGTGTCGTCTTCATTCAAGAGGGCTCCGCATCGGCTCCGCATTGGCTCTGTATCAGCTCCGCATCGAGGCAGGTTGCGGCGGTGCATGCTGCGACAGTGCGGCGCCTGCGTGCGGCTACTGGTCGCTCGACCAGCTCCCATGCCCAAGCAGGTGGGAATCTTCCTTTATACAGGACGACTCCGCATCACCTCCATAGTGGCTCCGCATCGGCTCCGGTGCCTAATAAAATAAATCTTTTGAAAAATAAGCTTTTAGTCCAAAAGAGTCCTCGCGCCGTCTAAACTAAGGCATCCATCATTAGACTAGGTCCATGACATCATTATATCGCATTGCCATCCGGCTCCATGACTATTGTCAGACCTTAGGCCCTACCGTAGCAGTCCTTAAACTACGAAACCAATGCTACAGTTACTAATTAGTTCAATGCTACGGGTGAGCTACGAGTATTTTCGTAGCGACTACGATGACTACGAGAACAACGACTCCTGTCCTAGGCTACGACAACTTTAAGTACTTTTGGTATTGTAGCATGACAATAGTGACTGAGTTTCTTGCGCTGCTTCTTCTCAACACTGGCCCATTTATTGTCCTGAAGCAGTGGTAGGGTTATTACTGGGACGTGTAAAAGTGCTTTTTTAAAGCCTATTTGCAGAAATAAATGAGTTTTTTGAGTTTTTTATGATATCTAACACTATGATGTTAAAGACGCTAGGTGTAAAGATTGTATTAAATTGTCATAATTATTACCCAGATTACGATAATCTTAAATCTGAAAATGTCACTCAAGCAAAAGACTGAATCGGCAACAACTTGACCTAATTCGAATACTGAAAACGCCTGTATTCACAAACATTACTATGAGGGCTCACAGTGCGCGTGGACGCACAGAGCTCTATTCAATGCTGTGCGTTCGATTTGCTGCTTCACTCAATCAAGGATCGTTTGTGAATTTGCGTTAATCTTTTACAAGAATATTGTAAAATATTGTAGCCCAAGTTCCAATCGAGTTTTGAGATCCCTTTCTTCGTAGTAAACTCAGAAACGACCTTGAAATGCACGTACATACTCGTAACACTGCCTTACACCTGCATAAAACTAAGCTCCATACACTCAAAAAGCTTAGTAAAGCAATAAATTAAAAGCTGAGCGAGACCCAATTAAGCGCGACCGCGGCTCGGCGCTTCGCCCCTCCAATTAGTGCGACTTTAGGGTTCCCTGGTCCGTGCTAAATCTATTTTTAGAAAACCAACTAAGCTCCTATTTCTAACGCTGTTTGGGCTAAAAGAGTATTGTGGTATAGCGAGAATGGGACTTTCTTTGTTGTACAAAACGTCCATTTTAGTTAAGGTTTAGCGCTCAATTCAGTCAGTGCCTGAACTATGAGGGTGTTTTAGGACGTCAAAAGTCAGCGAGACTTCAGTACTTCTAGCATGAACAACTTTCATCTTCGAATCGTTTGCGTATTCGACAAAACTCGATACTCAACCTTCGAATTCAACGATAACGTGACAATTTTGATTCTCAAAATAACACCCGTATTCACAAACATCACTGTGAGGGTTCACAGTGCGCGTGGACGCACAGGGTGACACACGAACCAATCAAAAAGCTCTATTCGACACTGTTTGTTCGATTTGCTGCTTCACTTAAGCAAGCATCGTTTGTTTGTGAATACGGGCGTAAGTTTCGTGCAACATTTCTCATACTAAGTTCACTTTACGACAGGTTCACAGGGGCGCTGTTGTAGTTTTCGTACTAAATCTTTTGATGGCGATTCGAATACGCAAACGATTCGAACTCGAAAGTTTTTCGTGCTAGCCGTACTGATCTCCTTCAGTACCTCTAGCATGAACAACTTTCGTCTTCGAATCGTTTGCGTATTCGACAAAACTCGATACTCAACCTTCGAATTCAACGATAACGTGACAATTTTGATTCTCAAAATAAGTTTCGTGCAACCATTTCTCATACTAAGTTCACTTTACGACAGGTTCACAGGGGCGCTGTTGTAGTTTTCGTACTAAATCTTTTGATGGAGATTCGAATACGCAAACGATTCGAAGTCGAAAGTTTTTCGTGCTAGCCGTACTGATCTCCTTCAGTACCTCTAGCATGAACAACTTTCGTCTTCGAATCGTTTGCGTATTCGACAAAACTCGATACTCAACCTTCGAATTCAACGATAACGTGACAATTTTGATTCTCAAAATAAGTTTCGTGCAACCATTTCTCATACTGAGTTCACTTAACGACAGGTTCACAAGGGCGCTGTTGTAGTTTTCGTACTAAATCTTTTGATGGCGATTCGAATACGCAATCGATTCGAACTCGAAAGTTTTTCGTGCTAGCCGTACTGATATCCTTCAGTACCTCTAGCATGAACAACTTTCGTCTTCGAATCGTTTGCGTATTCGACAAAACTCGATACTCAACCTTCGAATTCAACGATAACGTGACAATTTTGATTCTCAAAATAAGTTTCGTGCAACCATTTCTCATACTAAGTTCACTTTACGACAGGTTCACAAGGGCGCTGTTGTAGTTTTCGTACTTAATCTTTTGATGTCGATTCGAATACGCAAACGATTCGAACTCGAAAGTTTTTCGTGCTAGCCGTACTGATCTCCTTCAGATTTGTATGCTCTGTCACGTTATAATATGTCAGTCAATGTAAAAAAAAATGTCACCCTTCCGTGCCGCTCCCATAACTCAGGCAATGACGGAGTAAGCGTTATACCATAGAGTTTGATAAGAATTATATTTTACGTACAAAATGGACTGGATCACACTTTAATCCTTAGATTTCAAAATATAAACTAAGGAACACTGACTTTGACAAATTATTCTAAGCTTTTCTCATGATCCATTGTAATATTGGTTCTTACCAGTTATTATTACCTATTATGATACATGCCATTATTTATACTATGAAGTGAGGCTTATCCTTAGGAATGAGGTCGACAATTATTATTTGAAAATCTAATAGGGAGAATGGGCTCAGTCACTAATTACATAATATGGACTGAAAAAAGCCATACAAAAAAAAAAGATTTAGTTAGGACAGGGAATTAAAAACATAGAGCCAAATGTAGCCAAATTATTATTCAACGAATGCAGCGCCCGAGAAGATATGCGACGTTACTATGTCTCCGGATGTTAATTTTAATGAAATTCAGTCAAATCAGCGGCCATTAAAGCTGGGCTGGTAACTGGGTTATGACTCGGGTGTCCACACGTTAAGCTGTAGTTTTTTAAATAGTTAAACCTTTTTAATCGATCTATAGAGCGTTCGTTTGCGTTAATCTATGTCTTAGGTCTATTTTTAATCAACAGATAAATATTAGATTACTTATGTGGGTCTAGGAAATAATCCGAAAATCAATGTCAAAAATATTTCAGCTAAATGTTTTCAGACGACTGAAAAATTCGTCTCTCCTCCCATGTCATAGAAGGATCAATTTTTTTAAGTATATCAATGTTCAATTGAATTTGTGCAATGATTCAGGCTTAGGTTACTTTGTATTAATCGTCGTTTCGTCGTTTCAGCCAAATAACGTCCACTGCTGGACAAAGGCCTCCAGGTTTTTCACAATGAACGGTCCTGCGCTACCCGCATCCAGGCTCTTCCCGCGACATTTACCAGATATACTTTGTATTAATACAAAGAAAAAAATAATTCAAATGATCGACGATTTACTTGGTGCAGACAACGGCACGTAAATGCTTTGGAAGTTGCACTACGAGTGATTTTCTGTGTGATGGAATGTCAACTGCACAGTATGGATGATTTCAATGACCCTTCTACAGCCCTTCTAACGTTAAGTTCTCGTTTGTCCATCAACTCCTAAACGCTTGGTCGCCCTACCTACTTACATTGAGCTAGCAGGGCGCGGGATATGGAGGCGATAGGGCCCTTCCGGCGCGGCTGGCACGTTTGATGGGTACTTAACTCCGCTACCTTATGCAGCAGAATCCAGCCCGTAAATTGAAGGGATTGGATGTGGATAGTGGTTTTCATTAAGCAATTTGTTAGTGAGAAAGCTGGAGAAGTATTTTGTGTAGGTACGTATCTTGTTCTATTGTGTAGGTTTCAATAATATCTAATTGGGGTTAGAACTAGCGTCTGATGTTCTCGTAGTTGTTGGCGCTGTGGAATTACTGTAAGCCTTTAAGTAGCTTATTATAAATGAATAAATAAATACACCCACCTGCCTATATATAAGTAGAGAATCATATTATTATTATTTTTCATAAAACAGATTCATTCTAATTTAATATCCTAGCTAGCCAACTTGGAAAAAGATAGAGATATTATTTTGGAATATTCTAAAATAACTATAATACTGGGTTTCACATGTCTTGGCCTCTCATCTTTATTTGTTTTGTAGCGTTGTTTCAGATAACTAACTGAAATTTTATCATGCACTGCTGAAATCCCCAGGGTTGTGTGATATTTTCCTTGTTTACTGTGTGTAAAGTCGATGACACATCAGGCTTTACATTTTCGTTGCAAAATCGCTTTTATAACAACTACGTAAGGTGTCAATCTTGATCTGCCGTCACAAAAGAGGTTAGATATCAAACAATTTCATTTACTCCCTCACGGGATGTTCCCACGAATAACGAGACGTGAGGTCCCTAAGGAACGGGATAGAGCATTGGTTCCCAAACTTATTTGAGACGCGCCCTCTTTCGACCATACATAAAATTCCGCGCCCCCCCTCCTCCAGTCAAGATTATTTATTGGTCGTATCGAGCAGTCTGGAATGCATTCTCTCAGCGGTCGCAGGTTTTTTATACTTAATTACACATATGGCCCGCGCCCCCCTTTAAAGGTCTTTGCGCCTCCCCTGGGGGGCGCGGCCCACTTTGGGAACCAATGGGATAGGATACAGAACGAGTTATGGGGAATTTATGTAAAACACATCCGATAACATAAAACGTTACGCCTTAATTAAGGCTGGGGAATAAGGGCGGGAATATTCATAAAAATGCTATCAAAGTTGTTGTAAACTAAACTGCTTTGGGATGAGTTGATTTACAAATCGAGTAAGTTTGGTAGTAAGTTTGTTTGAATTGTAAAGATAATACAGTTTTGAAAGTCTTTCACATAACTTGCGTTATTGAGTGGAATATTAAACTGATTTTTACTTGATTTTAAGCAATATTGTAACTTGGAAGTGTCTTTTTCTAAATAACCTGAGAAAGTAAAAACACAAATTATCTTCAATCGTCATTATTCTTCTTCTTATTATCGTGTCGACAACAAACCCACAGTGTCAGCCTAAAACTCCACTACAAGAGTGGCGTTGTCGTCATATTAAAAAAACTCTATAAAGTTTGTCTCTGTACCCCTACATTTGGTTTAGAAAATAGAAAGATTTTTGACCTTCCATCCTCTTACAAGTTTATCTTATAAATTCTTACTGTCTACAGTAAGTATTTTAAGTCATAAATAGTTCAACCAAGAAGCTTCTTGCTTGCTAGAATAAAATTCTCCTCATGATTTTAATACTCAACAAAAACGACTACGAAAAGAAAGTGAAATCTAAAAGATTATTTTCTCCGCAGAATGGATTATTATTTCCTTGCATAAATTCCATGGAGTTAACCCGCTCGCTGCCGATGTTCTTATCTGGAGCGGACGGTTCCAATGCTTTGGATCTTTGGAATGAGAAAACCTTTTGATGTGGAATTTATGTTCGGGCTCTTTCAATTTCGCTGAACGATCCGACTGGCAAAACGTATGATAAAGATTAAGACATATTTATATCTATATCTACTTTGTGTTATACAAACACTCGTGTTGTGTAGGTGTATTCATTTCCAGCTTTGTTTACCGAAATGGTGGCTCAATTTTCGTAATTGACTTTTATCGTAATTGCAATATTCTGAAGCCTTTACCGTAATTAAAATATGTGAGAGTAATTTTTAAAAGTGTTCATATAACTTTATCACTTAATAACTGAAATTAGATTTTTGCAGTTAGTATAGTTAGCAAATACGATATTTATAAGTTAAGCTTGATTACCTTGTATCGAATATTATTAAATGTTAATATTAAAAAATCACATAAGGTGGACCGACGACCTCATAGAAGGTAGCAGGAAGGCGTTGGATGCAGGTCGCTACCAATTGATCATTATGGAAATCATTGTTTAACAGCGGATGTCATATGGCTGAAATGATGATGCTGATGATGATGATAATCATGAATTTGATGATGAATAAAGAAATACAGCAGTGCGCTTGGTGAGGCTTGATCATTAGATTAGAACACATTCTCAACTCAATCTTATCCCTGCATCGCTTCCAGCACATAAGTATATCGTTTCATCTTTCGTAATTAGACAAAGTACTACATCGCGGTTAACAAGCTACAAATTGTATACCCGAATGGGAGTCCCCAATTCAAAAGAACCTTGTCGTCTCAAAGTGTCGCAGATTCACGTGCCCCCGGCTGCGTGCCTCATCTTGTATTCATTCGACAACTTTAGGAGAGAAGGTCAGGCTTTGTCGAGTTTTAGTATAGGTTAATGACGGACTGAGAGGAGTAGTTTATTGTTTGGTTTTTACTTCAATATTCTTGTAAGGAATAAAGATACATTTTTTTGTAAATTTTCAGACTTCGGACGTTAGCTCGGATCTTGTTCTGTAACCTGCATTAGCCTGTTTTGTTTCGTTATTCCACTTACTAGAGAGCTTAGATAACTACTACTTATCTAGTAGGTAACGATAAAGCACAAAAAATTGCATACTTATATCCTTTTCAGTCTAACTAAGCCTATGCGCAGATCACCGATTTTTAGTCGGCCGATAGTTGGGTTCGATTCTAATTTGTATGAAGAATCAATATGTGCGCACTTCGATATACATGCCCATACATACTTCCCGACTAAACTATCGGCCGATAAAAAATCGGTGGTCTGCGCCTAGGCTAAGCCTATCCACATACTACAGACTTTTTATCGGCCGATTTTTTGGACATGTATGAATTACATCGATTTGATATCCGCCGATTATTCATACAAATCAGAATCGGGCCATACAAAAGTCTGCACCTAGGCTAAAAGTTTCTGCAATTTAAGTGTGGTATTCAGTTTTACTGTCTACAAACTGCAAGGAAATCCAGGAAGTTTAAATTTCTCTCTTGTCACCAGTCGCTCGGAGCGTCACCAGCGCCGGTGGTGCCGTCGCGTCTGTTGGCCGACCCCGTGGAGCTGGAGCGGCGCCTGGCCGAGGCCGGCCACGACGGCTTCGGCGCGCTGTGCGAGGACGCCGCGCCCGCCTCCCCTCCGCCTACCTTCATTGAGGAGCGGCTGCATCACCGAGTAAGATTGCCACCCTCAAGGTTGCCCCTTAACACCCTCTCTTCACTCAAGCCATCAGCGAACATCTAGAGTCGTCCATTCCTAGAGAAAGACCTTGGGGCGCTTGCGAGTATTCCAAGCCCGACTCCCCTTGGCAGACTTTATTGAGGAGCGGCTGCATCACCGAGTAAGACTTCAACCTTATGGCCTCCTACACACGACCGATTTCTCCCTGGCACAGCAGCTTGGTATAGGCTGCTGGCCACGACGACTTCGGCGCGCTGTGCAAGGACGCCGCGCCCGCCTCCCCTCCGCCCACCTTCATTGAGGAGCGGCTGCATCATAGAGTAAGATTACTACCCTAAATTCATCCTCAAGATTTCCCTTTTAACACCCTCCCTTCACTCAAACCATCAGGGAACACCTAGAGACTTCCACTGTCGGCCACGACGGCTTCGGCGTGCTTTGCGAGNGAGGAGTAGTTTATTGTTTGGTTTTTACTTCAATATTCTTGTAAGAAATAAAGAGAAAAGTTTTTGTAAATTTTCAGATTTTTAGTTTCAGCTCTTGGTATGTAACCTGCATTAGCCTGTTTTGTTTCGTTATTCCACTTACCAGAGTGTTCAGATTATTCTTAGTTAAATAAAGTACAACAATTTGCATACTTCAGTCCTTTTCAGTCTAAGCCTATGCGCAGATCACCGATTTTAGTCGGTCGATGGTTGGGTTGGGCTGTTAATCAGTATGGACTGGACATGTATGAAAGTGCGCACATTACACCGATTTGGTATCAGCCGATTCTATATACAAATTAGAACTATCAGCCAACGTCGACCAAAAAAGTCAGTGGTCGCTGTCTCTTTGTACAGGATGCGACAAGCGACAGCTGCCGTTGCCACTGCCGTCGGCTATGAGCCGCTCGTGTATAAGAAAGCCTTAGTGTGGTATTAAGTTTATATGGGCACTATCTACATAACTAAAAACCGCAAGAAAATCCAGGAAGTTTTAATTCCTCTCTTGTCACCAGTCGCTCGGAGCGTCACCAGCGCCGGTGGTGCCGTCGCGCCTGCTGGCTGACCCCGTGGAGCTGGAGCGGCGCCTGGCCGAGGCCGGCCACGACGGCTTCGGCGCGCTGTGCGAGGACGCCGCGCCCGCTTCCCCTCCGCCCACCTTCATTGAGGAGCGGCTGCATCACCGAGTAAGATTCCCACCTATACTCCTCTTTAAGATTCTCCCTTACGAACCCATCAGGATACACCTAGAGTCGTCTACTCCTGGAGAATGACCTCGGCGTGCTACCGAGGACGCTTCGCCTCTGCCCACCTTCATTGCATCATAGAGTAAGATTCACACCCTATACTACTCCACAAGTTTCTCCCTTACCACCCTCCCCTCCACTCAAGGCATCAGGGTACACCTAGAGACAACCGCATCTGGCCACGACAGCTTTGACGTGCTATGCGAGGATTCCTTCTCAACCTTATGTCCACCTACACACGAGTGATTTCTCCTCGGAGCGTCACCAGCGCCCGTGGAGCTGGAGCGGCGCCTGGCCGAGGCCGGCCACGACGGCTTTGCGAGGCGCTGTGCGAGGACGCCGCGCCCGCTTCCCCTCCGCCCACCTTCATTGAGGAGCGGCTGCATCATCGAGTAAGATTCTCCCCCTAAATTCGCCCCCAAGATTCCCATTTAAACGGGAGGGTCCCTTCACCTAACCCATCAGGGTACACCTAGAGACTTCCACTGCCGGCCACGACGGCTTTGGCAGGGTTGNGGGCTTTGGCGTGCTATGCGAGGATTCTACGCTGGATCCCATCTGCCTACCTTCATTGAGGAGCGCCTGCATCATAGAGTAAGATTATATTCCCCCCCCCCCCAAGATCCCTCCTTTCACTCAAGCCATCAGGGAACATCTAGAGTCGTCCATTCCTGGAGAAAGACCTTGGCTCGCTTACAAGGACTTCACGCCCGAGTCCCTTAGGCAGACTTTGTTGAGGAGCGTCTGCATCACAGATTAAGACCTTCTCAACGTTATGGCCTCCTACACACGACCGATTTCTCCCTGGCACAGCAGCTTGGTATAGACTGTGGGCCACGACGGCTTCGGCGAGCTGTGCGAGGACGCCGCGCCCGCCTCCCCTCCGCCCACCTTCATTGAGGAGCGGCTGCATCATAGAGTAAGATTACCACCCTATATTCTCCCCCAAGATTCCCCTTGAACACCCTCCCTTCACTCAAACCATCAGGAAACATCTAGAGACGCCACTGCTGGCCTGGCCACGACGGCTTTGGCGTGCTATGCGAGGATTCTACGCTGGATCCCATCTGCCCACCTTCATTGAGGAGCGGCTGCATCATCGAGTAAGAGATGAGAGATCCTCAAGGAGGCATTGAACAATTTTGTTGCCGACATAGCACGACGAGAGCTGACAAAGACTTCGGCGCGCTATGCGAGGACTCTCGCACCTGTCTGTCACCCCTCCGTCCACCTTCATTGAGGCACGGCTGCACCATAAAGTAAGACCTAGGCTCCCTCTAAGATTCTCCCTTTCGAACTCCCTCCATCTTTAAATGAGTGATTTCAATGACCACCTTTAAATGAGTGATTCCTCCCTGATGCTATATCACAGCAGGCTTAGTATAGTGCTATTGAATAGCCACTGCTGGTAGGAGGGACTGCATCCACCGAGTAAGACCTTGTCAACCTTATGGCTACCTTCATACGAGTGATTTCTCCTCGGAGCGTCACCAGCGCCCGTGGAGCTGTAGCGATGACGTGCTGAACTGCTGGACGATGCTTCGATGACATATCTTCATTACTTTCCCAATAATTGGTGCTCTCAGTAATGATATTACATAATTAAAATGGAATCTTAAAGCTTTACTTACCCATTGTATTGAATTTAATATAGCGCGTTATGATATCCGGGATTACGTCAAACCCTCATTTCCTCATGCTGTTCTCAGCTAACACGACAAATGACCAACACTTCGTCGCCTCACGCTGTTTCTGTTAACAAGACAAATGACCAACTAACTCCTCAACAGCCGGTGGCGTCGATCGTGGCGGTGGTAAATGACATATCCAAAGTGACATACCCAATTTTATCATAGTGAAGAACTGGGTATCTAGCAGCGACTTTTTATGTTATCCTGAGCTTTATATCATAACCTCATGCTACTCCGTTAACATAGCAAAATTATCAATTAACCCTCTACCAACAGCAGCAATACCTCATGCTGTTCTCAGCAAACTCGACAAATGAGCAATTAACCCTTCAACAGCCGGTGGCGTCGATCGTGGCGGTGGTGCCCCGTGGCGCGCTGGCGCCGGCGCCGCGCCCGCCGCCGCTCATCATAGCGCCGGTTGAGCCCAAGCAGCCGCCCATGAGGTGAGAATATATTGTATACTTCAACAGGGTTAATTGTAAACAGGGCTAGCTAAATCCACTTGTTCCCGCCATTGTAACTCATTGACACGATAGCCGAACGGCATCAACTACTCGTCGTCCGAGGAACGCGGGTTCGAACCCCGCTCTCGCCCAAATTCAAATTCATTTATTTCACAGAGTCGACTATTGTGGTTTGCTCACTGATGACACAAGCATATTTAGCTTAGTACGAGGGGCTATCGGGACTATTTTGCTGCATAACCCGAAAGTAAACTGGAATTCTCGTCCTTATGGCATTAAGTCGCCTTATGTTAAAATTTTGGCTTTAAAGTATAAATAAATAAATACAGAGTTGCATTACGGTACAGGGGTTACAGATGGTGAGAAATAGGGGCACTAACTTATATGAACGAAAACTTTTTAGACATCTTTGGTCCTCAAAATGAATAACCAAAAACAGCTCTTATTACCAGCACCATTGTGTCCAGGTTACCCCTGGACATGGCGGTGCGAGGGACCGGCGAGCCGGAGACTTTGAGCTACCAGGTGGAGCTCAGCAAGGACTCCGCTCTCGGGCTCGGCATCACCGTGGCTGGATACGTGTGCGAACAAGGTAAGTGAATTGGTTAACGCGTTAGCGCGGCGTATAAAGTATACAGCGCGATCTGTTGGCGACCGCATGAAGCAGAGGTGCTGCTGGCCAATTCTTACGAAGTTTCTAGCTGAATGGCTAACAACTTTGTTTTCACAGATAGAAGGGACTGAGATTCTCTAATGCTGATTTTAGTTATTCCGCGTATATTCAAGAAATGTTATGTAGGTTTATTTAATTCTATTGAAAACTGTTTTTCCGCCCACGGCTTCGCCCGCGTTGAATTTCGTTTGTTAAATTTTCCTCAATTTTCTTTGCTATAAACCTCACGGAGCCCGAAATATTTCCAACGAATGCAAAACCGTGGAAATCGGTTAGTACGTTCTGGAGTTATAGCGTCAGGAAGGAAAACCCGACTTATTTTTATATAGTAGATAAACATGTAAAGAAAATTAAATACATTATGACTCGTTACTTGCAAATACTTTAAAATGCATGTAAACACACTACCTTGTCTGTTTTTCCAAAGAGTTTGGAAAATCCAGGCAAATTTTGGTTTTCTAAAACGAAATCAGCTTCCCTAGGATATTCTGACTTTTTTTTTTTCAAAATTCAGAGTCCAACCATCAGACAGAAGTAATAAGAATACTCTCATTCAAACCAGAAAAGTTAATTGTGTTGGGCACTCCCGTCCAATGAATAAAAGATCTTATCCAACTACCTGCGTCTAAAAAAAGTAGAAGAATGATTTTATTAATAAACCAGCAAGATAAGCCAGTGACCGCCGCGACGGCTAAGCCCCCGAGGGTAGTTATCAAACAAACACGTGACTGTCATAGCCTGAGGAGAGCAGCCATGCTTAACATAATCAAAATCAAAATCAAAAATATTTTATTTATTTTGACCTGTATTTTGGCACTTATGAATGTCACTTTACATGTCTCCTAATAAGCAAGTGCGTGGCTGTCCTATTACTTAATTTTATTGCAAGGTGTGAATGTGATAATATTTTCTTTACAAATTACTGTTTACAGTTTCATGAATTTTATCAATTTCATGTATCCTTCATCCCCATGATAGTTATCAAAGTAGGTGGTGTAAAGCATTTCCTCGACGTAACTGCCTTTTTGCCTTAGTTAAAATAATTTCGTGGTTGCAATGAATACAGTTGAAATATAGGAAAATTCAATACCTAAATAAAGTTATTCTGAGTCTCTGTTGCTAAAAGAAGCGCAATGAAGGGCATATTTATAGCGCACATGATTTTCCTTGGCTATGTTAGTTAAATCAGGCCTGTTCATCTCCGCGAGTTTACATCGAAAACAAAACACGCACGGTGGCCCACCTACAGGATACTATTCGACAAGGCCTCACATACGAGCGAACATTGACTCACGCACGCGTATTCTTGTGTATGGTGGAAAAAAATAAAGAAAATAGTGTACTAAATACTGTGCAGTATTTAACTGCCTAAATAATAATAAAAACACAGAATGTACTTTTTTAAGTTAAAATAAAAGTAAATAAGTAGTTAATATTATTCATGATAATTCATGCGAAATCATGTATTTCCTCCGCCATTTTCCGCAGTTTGACACCTCACGTCACATCATTTTACCGAAGTCAGCCCTATAGCTTCGGCGCAGTGCCGATCACTGACGTTTGTTAACAAAATGGTGCTTGACTCTTGAGACAGGCTAAATTACTCCATATTGTTAGTGAAATTGAGCATACATTTTTTAAAATACCTTCGCGAAGTATAACTTCTGTACGTAGTACTTATTATTATTCTGTGGTTAAATCCAAAAACTAATTCGTGCACAACGAGCTGGCTTTCCTACTTAAGCTGTGGTAGAGTCTGTTTAAGATTTCAGCGCGTCCGTCCCGACTCCCGCCCGCCGCATATTACGTGGCATTTAATAAAATATCAACTCCTAAAATGTTGCTCTACACTCGTTTGCTAAGTAAATATGATTATGTTNTATTATATTTATTATTATTATTATAGTTGTCAAGGTAGGTGGTGTAAAGCATTTCCTCGACGTAACTGCCTTTTTGCCTTAGCTAAAATAATTTCGTGGTTGCAATGAAGAATGAAGATAGTTGAAATATAGGAAAATTTTATACCTAAATAAAGTTACCCAAAGTCTCTGTTGCTAAAAGAAGCGCAATGAAGGGCATATTTATAGCGCACATGATTTTCCTTGGCTATGGTACGTTAAATCCAAAAACTAATTTGTGCACAACGAGCTGGCTTTTGGCTAGAGTTCATATTGTGACATTTTTAAGTAAAATAAAATTGCTAAATCTTGCTCTTGTTCCTACTACAGCAAATCCTGTACAGCCAGGATTATCCACATGATTTTCCTTAACTACTGTAAGTTAAATCCAAAAGCTAATTCGAGCACAACGAGCTGGCTTTCCTAATTAAGCTGTGGTAGTCTGTTTAAGATTTCAGCGCGACGGTCCCGACTCCCGCCCGCCGCATATTACGTGGCATTTAATAAAATATCAACTCCTAAAATGTTGCTCTACACTCGTTTGCTAAGTAAATAGGATTATGTTGGAAGTAAACACAGCAAAAGCGGATTGGAGTAGGAGTTGTAACTGAATATGTTATAATTTATGTACACTAAACATTAAGGCTGGATTGCACCATCTTACTTTAACTTTGACAAACGTCGAAAACCTGTCAAAATCCATACAAAAACACTGGTTAAGGTTATAGTTACGGTTAAAAAAGGTGGTGAAACTCAGCATTAGGCTTCAAATCCTATAGTTAAGTGTTACTTGCCCCCATCGTCATAATTTAGTAGGCTCTGCTAACCGTAAGCATCCCTCAGAAATGTTTCAAAAACTATCTGTAGCAGTATTATATTATATTATCACATTCATTCAAAATCAAAATCAAAATCAAAATTTTCTTTATTTGTTTAGACTAATTAAATTAGTACTTGCAAATCGTCAAATGCTCTTAAGGAGCCTATACATGTCTCATTCTTTTTTTGCCCTACCAGCGCTTCGAGACAAACATTTGGCAAGTGCTGAGAAGAAGCGCCGCAACAAACTCAGTCACCACTGTCTGCCGGTTTAAAAATATAAAAAAGTAGGAAGTTACAATACATTCATACATCTAATGAAAAAAATCCTAGACTGCATCTCACTTAACACCAGGTCTGTGCGATTGCGGTCAAATACCTGCCTTGTCTTGCATAAAAAAAATCTAAAAAAACGCATTAAAACTTCATTTTCGACTCGCATATAATATAATTTATACGAAACTTTCCTCATAAAATGCATATCCGGCGCGCAAGCTTTTCAAATTTCAGCGTTTAACATTTGCGAGTTGAGTGAGTATGTAGTTTGTAGCGCCACTTCCTTTGTGCGGAGCTTTCTTGAAAGCTCAGAGTGTTGAGGCGCTTTCTGCTAATGAGGTGAGCGGAGTTGATTGAGATGAAGATGATTTTAATAGTATAATTTGAAGCTCCTTTTTTATTCAATAATAGGTTAACCTTACCTTAGGCGATTATCACACTGCGCCGCGCTCCGCCGCGGTCCGCGTGATTTCATATAAAAAATCCCGCGCGCAGACGCGTTGTCAGTGTGTTGTGCCGCTCGTGTTTTCTATACAAACTGAGGTACTTGCATACAATGATTAAATCTGTAGTCCCGCGTACCGCGGCGGAGCGCGGCGCAGTGTGATAATCGCCTTAGAGTTCCTTCAAGAATAGGAACCTTAAAAAATTAAGGACTTGACTCTGACATGCGACATTACAATCGGTTCTCAATGTTTTGTAATACAATATCCAGAACTAGGTACATAATCTATTAAGAGACTATTAATTTTATATGTATGCTCAAAATTGTAACGATATTTATTATGTACTAACATCTAATGAACGTGTAATTTCTGTGAAATAAATTAATGATTTGAATTTAAAAAAAAACTCATAAAACTCATTTATTTCTGCAAATAGGCTTTAAAAAGCACTTCTACACGTCCCAGTATTAACCCTACCACTGCTTCAGGACAATAAATGGACCAGTGCTTCTAAATTGTGCAATAAAAGTCCTTCCCATATAGCTGCTATAATAATTCGACTAAACGTGTCATAAAGCCGCGAGCGTAATTTAAAGCATAATGTAAGAAAAACAATGTTTGAATTGTCTCCAGAAAAACATAAGTTTTGTCTTACAACCTTATCTTTGCTTATTGTCTATTTCTCCAGCAACCAGTATTTAACTTACGTATCCATGTCCATTCCACTGATGTTAAGGGCTTATCTTCGAACACCTCAGAGGCGAGGGATTGTAAAAATAACAAGCGTCGGCCCTCAAGCCCTCTCGTAATCTGCCGACTTCTCTCTTTGAGGAGTTGCTTGAGGTTATTGGATTTTTGGAGGTGAAACTTGTAATGTATTTTTAGAACTGCGACTTGGTAGTTTGTGGATTTTCGCTGAGATTGGAGGAAAAACTTGTTCAAAGTCGGGTTCGGTCAGCAATATTTTACTATTTCTATGATTTTTGTTCGTTTATGGTCTCTAGTAGTAGAGTTTACCATCATTACCATCCGAGTACATAAGTAGATAGATAGAAAGTATTTATTTGTCTCAAATCAGGTTACAATTTATTTGTGTTGTTGTAATTGTTTATCAAAAATATTGTCTTAAAAGCCTCCCCAATTCATTTAGCCTGGTGTAGGGTGTACACCAAATTCATTTGGCTCTGGTAAATTAGAGAGTCGTGCTTCTGCATATTGTAATAACCTGGTGATAATGATGTTATGTAATCTTTCCTTCAATTCAAAAGTTCTAAAATACTTTTTCAGCTTAATTTCCAGCAAGTTCCACTGCTGGTTTTATACATTACCGAACCAATTCAGGTCGAGCTATAAATATCGCACGAAACCAGTCTACCCTCGTACATAAAACATTCTAATGGTTCTGAATCACTAGTTTTCCTCAATTTGTTTCGTAATACGAAAGACCTCCCTAGGCACACGTTTGAGGTAATTATTCTCA